GTTGATTAAAAGTAGGGACTAATTTGCACTTTTAAAAGTTTAGGTACTACAGTGACACATTTGAATATTCCGATATTAACTTGACACTATCCTTAAAGTTCACGGTACTAAAGTAGACCGTTCCATCCCATCTATCGCCATGTTATATGTAATGCGCATATCCGCCAATCACCATTCTGATTCTTGTTGTGGCTGGCCTTGTGAGAGTCCTATGGCCCGTGTGTTCCCCATTCCCCCATGGAGGGCTATGGCCCTATCGCTTTGTTGATCTTGTATAGCCCCAACTTTTTGTTATGTTTTCAGTTTTTTTTCTTCTTTTTAATTCCTCTGATGCATTGTTTTAAAGGAGTAGGGCTTGAGGCGAGGTGCAAATGAAAATCAAAATAACATATTTGAAGTTGATATTATCAATGAAGAGATTAAGGCTGCTCTCTTTCAGATGGCCCCCTCGAAAGCCCCTGTTCAGATGGATTGCCTAACTACTTTCAGAAGTACTGGGAGATTAATAAAGGGAATATGATAAATGCAACGAGAGAATTTTTTTATTTTGGGTATCTACTTCGAGAACTCAATAATATCTACTTTACTTTAATTCCGAAGTGCAAACACCCAATAGATATTTCTCAATACTGTTCAATTAGTCTTTGTAACAACACCTCTTACAAGATTATAGCTAAGGTGTTAGCTAATCGACTGAAGAAGGTATTAAACTCTATCATAGGACCAAATCAGAGTGCTTTCATGGCAGGTAAACAAATATCAGATAATATCCTCGGTGCATATGAGCTTTTGTATCACATGAAATCCTCCAAAAGCAAATATAAGTTCATGGCAATTAAATTAGACATGGCTAAGGCTTACAATCGGATTAAATGGCCCTTCTTGATGGAGACTATGAGCAAAATGGGATTTGGAGAAAAATGGAGAAACTGGGTTCAGCGGTGTGTATCTCCGATTAGCTATCAAATTCTTGTGAATGGTTCACCCAATAGGGAGATTCACCCCATAAGAGGACTTAGGCAAAGGGACCCCTTGTCTCCCTTCCATTAATCCCTGAAGTTTTGTCTTCAAATCTGGGGTGGTGTCAGCAATCCAACAAAATTTCAGGGATCAAAATCAGTTAGAGCAGTCCCTCAATCTCCCACCTTCTTTTCACAGATGGCAGCTATGTCTTTGCTAAAGTTTCAATTCAAGAAAGGGATGAGATTCTAAGAATTCTCAAATTATATGAATTGGCAACGGGTCAAAAAGTGAACATGAATAAGTCGGACGTTTATTTTAGTAAAGCAGTTCACCCTCGAATTCAGAGAATGCTCTCCAAAGCCTTAGGTTTTAGACGAGTGGCTACCCCAGGAATGTATCTTGGGCTTCCTGCTGAAATTGGAAGAACAAAGAAAGAAATTTTTTCTTTCATTAAAGAAAGTTATGGGGAAAACCCAAGGCTGGAAGGAACAATCTCTCTCTAAGGTTAGTAAGGAAATCTTAATTAAAGTAGTTATCTCGGTGATACCGGTGTATGCAATGTCTTGCTTCCTTTTGCCTCAAAGGAAATGCTCTCCTTGCAAGACAAGCTTGGAAGGTGGCAACTGAACCTAACTCTATTTTGAGCCAAGTTCTCAAAGGAAATATTTCAGAAACAACACCTTCCTCCAATCTAAACTGCCCCACAATTGCTCTTGGGGATAGAGGAGTCTTGTGGATGGCAAGGAAATCCTCTTAAAGGGTATCCTAATGCAAGTTGGTAAGGGAGAGGAGATAAATTTCTGGAATGACATGTGGTTACCTAACTTTCCCAATCATAAAATACCTTGTAACAAACCCCCAAACTGTCTCTTTAGCAGAGTCAGTGAAGTAATTGATCCATCTTCGAAGTCATGGAATGTGGACTTCTAGCTTATTAGCTCCCCATCAATCTGGTCAATGCTATTAAGGAAATTTATATTCCTAACTCAAATGTCAATGATGAGCTAATCTAGAAATGGGAGAGAAATGGCATTTTCTCAGTAACATCTGTGTATCATATAGCCAAAGCAATGAATGACCACAAGAGGCCTGCCAGTTAGGCCTAGAGTTAAACACTTCCTATGGAGGGTTGTTCACGGAAAATTTCCTGTCAATATGAATTTGTGGTTGCGAGGGGTAATTCCTTCTAACTTATGTTCCCTCTGTCAGTTACACATTAGCACAGCAGAGCATTCTCTGCTCTGGTGTGATCTGTCTCGAGCTTGCTGGTTTGGCTCGCAACTAGGGGTCAAGCTTCCAGAAACCAATGAAGGAACCCTCAGTTATTGATTGTTGTCTTTGTTCTCAGACCCAAGGCTTTTAAAGAAAGAAAGGAGGGAAACTTTAAGATCCACAGCCCTGTTAGTTTGGGCTATTTGGAAATCCAAAAATATGTTGAAATTTGAATCCATGGTTCTAAGTCTAGATTCTGTATTATCTTATTATCATCGCTCGTGCAAGGACATCACTCTCAAACTCTCAAGTCAATGGGAGGACCAAGCTCAGAGTAATCAGAGACAGGCTATTGCCCCAGTTCAACTTGCGACCCACGATCGTTTTGTCAGAATTTACGTAGAGGGGGCTTTCTCCGAGGGTTGTTTTTCTGGGTTGGGTGTTTTAATTCTAGACAATGACAACAGTTTCATTGCTGCTGTTGTTGTGCCATCTTTGCCTCGCTCCGCCATCTTTTCTGAATCTCTGGCCATCCTTGAAGGTCTTGTTCTTGCAAAATCACTGCGCTGCTCCAAAGTGGTGCTATTTTTGGACTGTAAACTCTTGATTGAAAGTCTTACAAAATCTGCTACTGGGTTGCCTTACCAACTGAAAGGTGTTGTACAGGACATACTTGCAATATCTAGGTTTTTTAAGTCTTGTTTGTTTAAATTTGTGAACAGAAACTGTAATGATGATATAGCTCATAAGCTTGCGATTCCTTTATGTCCTGCTAGAAGTGTTTGGAGAGGTTCTACTCCTTTTTTTGTCTCTTTGGTGGAACGATTCCTCTAATCATGTAAACTAATAGCAATGAAGCTTAATTCATTTGGTACCAAAAAAGAAAAAGTCTCACAACTTTAGTGTGAGGTTTAAGCCTTTTTGTCAAAAGTGTAAGCCTTTTTCCTAATAGGCTTAAACCTCATGCCTTGAGGTTTAAGCCTCAAGGCATGAGGCGTAGTTTGATACCTAAAAAGGTGTAAGTCTCAAGTATTAATGATTATTTAACAATTTAATGCAAAAAAATATTCTATACATTTTTATAGTTCAAAATATATGAAGGAAGCACTTCAAGAATTATGGGCCAAATAAATAAATAGAGTAAAAATGAAAAACCAATAGGGAGAATCAAGTTCTATTGGTTTCTTTTAGTGTTTTAAGAGAATTCAATGCAAAAAAGACCAATCAAGTTCTTAGTTTCTCTTGGATATATCAAGTGATTTTTTTTTTTCAAATTATTTTAAATATAGCATCCCAAGTTTTTTATTTTCTCATTTCTTTTCCTAATAGATTTATTTTTCTTTTTATTTATTTTTTTGCATAGATCAAATTAACTAAGTCATTTTCTTTCTTCTAAATTATTGAATGACGATAAATCTAATATCCAATTATATGGATTATTCTTCATATGTTTCTTTTCTTCTAAATTGATTATTTGAATTATTTGAGAAATTTGCATTTTGAAACATGAAATGTAAAATGTTTATTGTTGTTAATTGGTTATTATTTTATTTAATGCTTAAATGTTGAAATTTATTGCTTATAAACTTTTATTTTATAGATATTTATATCTTTTGTCATTCTAATTTGGTATATTATATGTTATTTTTATTAATTTATAAACTTAATTAATTTTATTCTTAAGCATTGAGACTTATGCCTCACCTTTTTGGGCCATTATGCCTAAACTATGTCTTTAGCCTTTTAAAACCTTGCTCTAAAGAGTATGTGTGTGTCGCATCCCAATTTCCTATAGACAGCAGTATGCATCAAGTAATCATTAAGACCTCCACGCTATCCCCAGTTTGGATCTCCTACCCATAAGAACCTATCCATGTCTACCCACAAGACACTGCAATTATGCTTGGGGAACATTTCCTCTACTTGTATATTATCATGGATGGGAAGATGTCCTACGCTAGTGTCATGTGGGTTGGCATGGGTAGGGTTTTTGTGGGTAGGAGATTCCAATTGCACTACCCCACGCTTTTGTTTCAGGCAAGGTTCAAAATTTTGATACAATGTGCCCAATATCGAATGTATTGTATTGTATCTTAAGGGGTCCGATACACCTATTTACAGGTGTTTCTGACCCCACTCTTTTTTAATAAAAAATGTTTAAATATCTTCCCAAAAACCAAATTTTGAAAAAAGAAAATAAAGAAAAAAAAAGTATTTCCGCATGTATCTAAGTACCGATATATCTGCTGATACACAGGCATATTATACTTTGAACCATGATTCCAGGTTTCAAGGAAGGGCTGTTTTTCAAACAGGTGTAAATCTTTTAGATCCTCCTT